CAACAGAGCAGAATCATGGAGTCCGAGCGAGCTGCACGCACGCTCCACCAGCTACTCCTGCTCTGTGATCGCCTGCACATCGTAGGGGGTCTTTGCCTGCAAAAACGCTCAATCAGTTAGCAAGATAGTTAGTTTGTAAGGTTAGGAAATCGATTCCAGCAATTTTTAAATGATCTAGCTGAGTCCATCTAAGTCTTTAACAAATAGTCTGAATCTAAATCTGTGTCGTTGTTCCAGGTGAATTTGCATGACTTAGTACTGGGGAATCCATTCCTCGGAAAAGGTCTCTGTACGTATGAAGTCGCCTGTCGATCGAATCTCCTGTGTCATCGTCCAGCCACTAAGTTTTTCCTCTGTCCTCTTATGATCCAACTTTGATTTAAAAATGAAGTTCACCGAGCATTTAGCAGCTCACATCACCCCAGAGTGGAGAAAACAATATATTCAATATGAGGTAGGCCAGCATCAGCTTTCCACCAGAAATAATTCATCCACCGTTCATTTTCTTTCAATGAAAAGTAATTGTCAGTGACATTTTAGTGGCTTTAAATTATAATGTGAATCATGCGTTTAAACGCTACGCTCTCAGGCGCCCCAGATCTCAAGGAGCTGTGAGGAATTGGATGAGAGACGAAGAAAGCTCCAAAACCATTTCTTGTGTAATTTCTGTCTCAATTGCTGAGGGGAACTCCTAAATTTGGAATTGAGTTGGTCAACCGTCAGTTTAATCCTCCTGCAGATAAGCTGGCAGGTCTGTGCAGTTGATTGAACTCTTTATTTGTGCTTGGTGGCGCTGTCGTTGGATGGAACCAACGGAGAGTTTCGCATAGGGGAAGTAACCACTGCCAATTTGACAGACACAAGCCTCCAGAATTTTTCTACTAATTTCAATTTTGAATTTATTTGATTAATAACAACACATACCAAAATATTAACAAAGTATCTGATGGGAACCACTTAAAGCAAGCCTTGTGCAGATACTTGGAGCACAAATTGAGCACGAACAAGACCAACCTACACAGGCCTGTCATTCCTGTGGACGAGGTTTGAGACCCTGCTGTGTGTTGCGGTGGGATATTTAATTGCGATGTATTTTTTACCGGAGCAGCCAATTCTACATCACTCTGGCTGTGGTGAAGGAAGGGTTTGGCTGGGGAATGGATTCCCTCTAAGGGTGCAATGACTGACCTGCTCTGATTGGTCTTTGGTATGATGTTGAATTGTTCGTTCTCATCAGATATTTCATTTAGTGAAATGGTTGCCAATTGTTCAGTCCTCTCAACCTTATATGAATGTAGTTTACAGCTGATCGTACTCTCAATTAAAGCACAGCATTCTACTTCGAAGGGAAAATCTAATCCCATTTTTCAAGAAGCTTTTTGTACGAATTTTGTTAGTATCTTCAACAATTTGTGTATTTTCAGGAACTCAAAGCCATGCTGTACAAAGCTGTGGAACAAGCTCCATCTGCAGAACAAGTTGAAGAAACTGTGATAACGAGACACTTTGCTAAGTTTGATGAGCAGTTTTTTACCTTTTGTGATCAAGAATTGGCAAAAATCAACACTTTTTATTCCGGTATGCTATCTGCCCTAATATTTTCAGAAACTCTAGCAAAGTCCTGTGGTGCTATCACTGATAAGAAAAGAAAGACAGAAAGAAAAATTATTTTACATCATTTGAGTTTGAGTCCAGGGGCAAACTAGGACCATCAACCCACCAATCCTTAGGTCAATTCAAGTGGTTTATATGCCTTGTGAAGAAGGCAAATCAGTCCAAAATCTGGTTCTAAGTCATAGAGTACATAGAGTCGTAATGTAAATGGGAGAGCTGGCGCCATGTTCTGCTCGACTAATTCCGAGCCCGGTGTGCGCCGAGTTCGGGTCGCTTTTTCGATCCAAAATGGCGGTGTGGAATACGTGGTAATTCCTATCTCCTTTGTTGTTGTTGTTGTTGTCATCGGATGGCCGGGTACCCGTGTATCGCTAACAATCGATTATGTATCGAAAAAGTGACCCGGCGTCACACAGGAGTCTTGGAATTCGGGACATGGAAAATGCTTAAAAGTGGCGCCAGCTCTAACACTTACATTACGACTCTATGTACTCTATGTTCTAAGTATAAACCTTATTTTTCCTATTGTGCTTGCCTGTCTGTCTATCTTTGCTGCGATCAACTGCTAACTCACACCGAAACAAACTTAGGTTTTTTAAGTACCGTGCTATATCTCAAAAATATTTGACATGTATGGAATACAAGTTTTGGAAATGGTAAAAGTGCATTTGAATTCCGTTATCATGAGAAAGCACTGTGCATACCATCAGAAAAATGTAGATGTCAAATCTTAGCTAATCTCAACTTGTCTTTTATGTCCTGCAGAAAAATTAGCTGAAGCGACTCGAAAGTATGCTA